AAGGGGTATGGTCTATGGTCTCCCTCACCCCTAATTAAAAGCAATATTTGGGAAGGCCTAATTATTTCTAGTTCATTGGTTCTCAAACTCTTGTTTGTAGATCCACTTACACTCTTAAAAATTATTTGGGACTCCAAAGAATTTTTGATTATATGTATTGATATTTTTTTGTACTTGAAATTAAAACAGGTTTTCTTTTTTTTTTTTGGAGGTACTGGGGGTTGAACTCAGGGCCTACCACTTGAGTCACCCTGGCAGCCATTTTTGTGTTGGTTATTTTTGAGATAGGTTCTTGCTTTCTGCCCTAGCTGGCCTGGGCTGTGATTCTTCTATTTGTGCCTCCCCTTGTGGCATTGGATGACAAGGCCCATGCCACTGCCACAGCCATTGGTTGAGATGGGTGTTGTGTGAACTTCTGCCCAGTCTGGCCTCAAACCATGATCCTTCCAATCCCTACCTCTTGAGTAGTTGGGATTCACAGGCTTGATCCACTGTGCCCAGTTGCAAAACTGAGAAATTTTGAATGTACAATCATACATTCCATTGGTCATGAGAATGATGATGTTATCATAGGTCATGTATTCAATAAAACATTCCACCATGTACTCAACAAATGACAGTGGAAAAGACAACATGTTGTTATTATTATTGTTATTATTTGCAGTACTGGGGTTTGAATTCAGAGCCTACATCTTGAGCCACTCTACCAGCCCTTTTTTGTGATGGGTTTTTTTCAAGATAGGGTCTTGCAAACTGTTTGCTTGGGATAGCTTTGAATAGTGTTCCTCCTGATCTCTGCCTCCTGAGTAGCTAGGATTATAGGTGTAAGCCTCTGGCATCTGGCCATGTTAGTATTATTAAATTAATTTTGGCCTTGTGGATAACCTGAACAGGTTCTAGTTGAGAATCCTTGGACCAAATATTGAAAACAGTTCCTGTAGTTAAAATTTTTCCACTTTAAAACTCTTTAAATGGGAGAGACTTTTAGCTGAAGTAAAAAAAGTCTTCAGGAAAAAAAATATATATATTATGTGGTAGCTCAAGAAACTTCTTCCTTTTAAATTCAATTAAGAAGTCAGTTTTATTTTGTTTGGATTTGCTCTTAAATTGGAAGACCCAACAAAATATGGAACAAATGTTTGTGAGTGTGTATTTCAGGGGAAATGATCTGGTTAATTTGGAATTGAACTGAGACTAGAGATATATTGTATGTAGGTTAATATGCAGTGGTGGTAATGTATTTATTTCCCTGTCTGTTTTTAGCCTTACAGTATGGCTTACCATATGGTTATTATCATTTGCGTCTAATACCTGATAGTTTAGAGACCACACTCAGTAAAAGAACTATATTGTAAAACATTTTTATACACGAGAGAGTCTGATGATCTTTCTGAGATTTAGAAAAAGTGTTTCTATTAAGAATAAACATTTACAGTGTTTATTACTACTGTTAACAGTATCTGGATTTGAACTAAGAACTTGAATGTAATGATGAAACTATACAATTTCATAAACGTGTTGATTTCTTAAAATAGTAATATTTGCAGCTCTAAGTATTAGGTACTCCTATTAGAAGCTGAATATAGAGCTGGGAATATGGCTTAGTGGTACAGCACTTGCCTATTATAGCATAAGTGCACTCCTGGATTCCATCCCAGCTATTGCAAAATAAAATGAACCAATCAACAAAACAAAATGAGAGCAAAAGAGGGAAAATCACCTGTTTTGTACACTGAGTTACATGTTTAATTATTTGTGACATTTTTATGCTAAAGAAATTGTATGACTTTTGTATAAAATGTAAAGTTTTATAAAATGAAAAGTTTCTTGTCATTGATTTGTCTTTTTCTTAAAAATAAGGCATTTTGATTTGTGAATACCATAGAGATTACATTATAAACTATTAGTTTATGCATAAAGGATATATGTTGATGCTGAACAAACATTTTTGTATTAAAATATCCCCCAAAATAAAGCAATCTGTTTCTCAAAATACTATTTAAATACAGTAAAATTATTTAAGTTAGGATGCTAAATGTATTCATTAAATAGTTTAATTAGGTCCTAATATAAAACAATCTTTCTCAAAGTAGTATTTAAATATAGTAAAATTATTTAAGTTAAGATACTAAATGTATCCCTTAAATAGTTTAATTAGGTTAAGAGTTTGATGAGGAAATCTATTTTATTTGCAATTGTTTATTTGGAAGTTTTTTCCTCATGTTTTGTATGTAGAGTTATGTTTTGTAAAATAAGTTTTTGAAGTTTTTCTTAGGCTTTGACAATTATAGACAAATTCTCTTTTTAAAAAGGGTTAATTTAGAAGTGATGATTTCCTCAGGCTAAAGACTCATGTTTAGAGAGACTTCTAAGTAAAGGCTTAACTGAGTAGAATTAGGAAGCAATATATATTCATAACTTTTATTTGGGATGTTGAAGCAATTCTATAAACAATAGAAGAATCCCACCCCCACCTTTATTTTGTATTGATGTGTTCATGGAAGTATTTTTGACTAGTGATGAGTATATGAATATAAAGCCATCTATTTTAGTATAAACTTTGTTTTTCTTGTTATATCAATTTATTATATTGGATGACATTTGTATTTTCAGACTTATTAGCCTTGAGCAACTGCCTTGTTGGTCCAAATTTGTGGAATGGTTTTCAGAAAAACATATGATGGGTTGGTACACAGAAATGTCATATTTCAATCATGACATGAGAAATGGTTGTATTGCCTGTCCTACTAGGAGATGTTCTTAAAATTAGTTACCCTATTGTATCAATACATATATCTCACATTAAGAATGAGGCATTACTGGATTTTGTTATTATCTGAGTTAAAAATCATGATAAGCCTTTTAGAAATTTCTGAGAATTACCACTCTAGGAATTAATAAGTCAAACTTTTTTGGATTTCAAATTTTTGATAGTTCTCCTAAAATAGAAACTTATGTCTCTTAGTGGATAATTACCTTACCGTATTTATGCTAGTAACTGATAAAGATTTTCTAGAAATTATAAACTTGACATTTATATTGCATATAAGAATATGTATTACATCTCCAGTGTTTGTCTTGTTTTTAAAGCAAGATTATCTCTATGGCACTGCAACTTAAAATTAAACAAAAAAAACAAACTTACTACAGTTCATTTCCAGTGCTTTCAGATAGTTAGCATAACATTTAGATTTTTGCCCATTAGAATTTATAGCTTCATGTGCTGCATAAGAAAGATGTAACAGTCTAGCAGTATGGATAAGCTATTATAAATGTATACTAAATGCAATTTATTAATATTAAAATTGTTTTGCAAGTCAAAGAATACCAGTAGGTTTATATGAAAAAAATGATTCTTTAAACTCCTTTTTGTTAATATGTATTTTTAAAGCTCTAAAGTTCCTCTTAGGTTTCTGTCACTTAATTCATTTGTGTGAATGTGTTTATATATGTGCATATATATGTGTCCTTATTTCAAGTCAGGGTAATAGAAAACTGAGCAACAAGTAAAGCCAAAAGTCATGGAATTAAAAAGTAATGGGAATAACATAATGCAGATGATCCCTTAGGCTTTTTATGTTTTTTAAAAATTTCATATACAAATAATGCATTAAGAGCTACAATTAAAATGCTGTAGTGATCACTTCATGAGTCAGTTTAACTCTTAATAGGTCTGTTGCTTTTTATTGTGTATATTGTATGTTTATGTTACTGTCTGTGATTTAATTACAGACTTTATTTTAAACTGTTTTAGATTTTAAACATATATACACATTTTAAATACTGATTTTCATTACTGTGATCTTGAATTACATATAATTTTTCAATTTTTCAATTGTCAATTTTTAGAACTAGCATATCTTTATATGTATGAAACAATTATCAATAGACCTTAATTATATAAAAGCAAAGTATTAAAACTGTAGCTAAAAATTTAGGTTTTTAGTTTTTCCTTTCTTTTGTTACTTGTTTTGTATGTGTGAGTAAAAGAACCTAAGTGAGTCATTTCTTACTAATAAATAATTTTTAGGTCTTGGAGCTGCCCTCAAGGTTTTTTCAGATTACTACCATAGCAAAATAAAACTAACCTACACAGTGTATATAATTGTTTGGCATATAAAACATTGTTAAACTTTAGAGTGAAAAATCTCCGTATGGACATAGTTATGTAATATAAGAGAAACATCTTTTGGTCATTAATTTTCTATCTATTTATTTATTTTAATTGTTGTGCTGGGTGGGGGTATATTGTGGCATTTACAAAAGTTCTTACAACATAGCTAATATACTTGAATTCACCCCCTCCATTATTCTTCATCTCCCTCCCCAGTCATTAATTTTAATAGGTGTCCAGATAATACTGTGGATAACTGTACCTATATCTTTAATTAAAACTATTACCTTTCTTTATAGAAATATTTGTTGTATAATTCTGAAAACAATCTGAGGAAAAACTAAAGTTTATTTGTTTCTAGATTAGGCCTCTTTGAAGAAGTAGTAGATAGCAGGAATGTGTCTCTGTGTAAAGAATTCTCTAATTTATGTCTTTGACATAGTTGAATATTAAAGGGTATATATTTTCTCCCTGATGCTGTGTTTTAATCAGTTAAAAGGAGTTCTTTAGTAGCAACTGAGTGAAACTTGAAAAATTATTTTAGTATATAAATTGCTAAAATTTTTACCAGAGATGTAAATATTATATCATTTTATCTAATAGCATAATCATTGATTTGTTTAAAATGCTTTTTGAAAATCTCAAGTGAGAAGTTAATGTATGAACATCTATTTCTGGTTTCAAAAATTATAGCTTACATAAACAGAAAATTGTAATCAGAATTCTCTAAGAATTGGCACATTCCTTTTGAACATTAGGACATTATTTTTCTGAAACTTAAATGTAGGATCTAAATGTGGACGTTTAGGTTCATTTACCCATCATTTCTGATGTTCTGGGAAGAAGTATCTAATGGTTTTTCCGTGACATCTACCCTTTTTTTCAGATTCTCGACTGACATTTTATCGTGTTATTGTGTCCACGCTCTTTAGTTCTTCCTGGAGCCTTCTGAATTTCACATGCCCTGCTTCAATCAGCTCCTGCAGAGTGGATAACTTACCTAGGGACCCAGGCCTTACTGGACAAGCAACCAATCATGAACAGGGGCAGACTGGCCTTGTTTTTTTGTTTTTAATTTTTATATATTTTGGCATTTCAAAGTAATAGGTATTCATTATAGCAATTTATTGGAAAGTAAAAGCAGTGAGTCTTTCTAGAAATCTGTATCTTTATCTGAAATGGAGGGATTATGTAGAAAAGCTTACCTGCTGCTTTTCTTTCCTTTTCAATAACTTTTAAATTGTGAATTAAGCATTTTTCCTCTCTATTAACTGGTATGTCTTTGTTTCCTAGTACATATTTTTGTAATGTTAGTCTGCTTGTATAGATCTGAAAAAGCACTCTGAAAACTTTTGTTTGTACAAAATAGAACTTTAATGGTATCTTGGGGAAGAAGGGCTGGTGAGAACTTCAGCTTTTATAAGGAAGAGCAAGAGAGATTTGCCTAAGGAGCTTTAAACCTGGTACAAATTAGGAACTTATTCACTATGTCATAAAAGTATCTAGGGCCAATCCTGATTAAATGATTTTTAGCAAGTTTTTTAAAAAAATGAAACTTTCATGTTAGCCTGTTTTAGAATAATATAAAAAATTTTGGACTTCTGTTGCAGGTATCTACTCAGATTAAAATTGTCAGTATTGGCAGTTAGTAATGCAGGGACAGAGTAAAGGAAAAATGTGTTCTATTGTCTTATTTTTGTTTAAGTATTAGTACTACATAAACCAAAAAGTCAATTTTAATATTTAAATTAGTGACAGAATTTCATGTGGCTATGGCAAAAAGGACTCATTTTATAAACTGCAAGAATAAGTATAGTATTTTGAATTCTGAAGTATTAGGATTTTCAATTTTTTGTTTCATTTTGAAAATATGTAAGAACTAAGTTTTTTGTTTAATCGTTAAAACAGTGAATAAATGTGGGTCAAAATATGAAAGAAATACAGTGAGTTAAAAATTACAAGGTTTTGATACTTTTGTTTAGTATTCTTTATGAGGAAGATAGTATCAAAGGATGAACTGTATTTTGTGTTGATTGAAAACATTGCCATTTTGAAGAAATTCATTCTTCTTTCCTAGGATTAAAAGATTGTCTTTTATGTTTCAGATTAAATTTGAATTGATTTCTTTGCACCATAGGCAAGTTAGTGGTATATACTTTTTGCAAATGAAAACTTAAGTCTTTAGATGCTTCTAGTAAAATTAAGATGCCCATTGAGGTTGTTTTATTTAGAGTTTAGCTTAAATCCATGTCTATAATGCTATACTGGTCTATTTTGACTAGTAGAGTAGAAAGAAGAAGCTTGTTATATGCACAGATTATATACATTTTTTTCTTAATGCCTTCTGTTTGTCTTCTAGATGTTTTAGAAGCTAAATCCTATGTCTTCTCTCCTTCACATTATGTAGCAAGAAGACTGTAGCTTGACTAGACTAAAAATTATTATCGATTATTTTTTATCATATGGAAGCTATATTTCTGTGGTCCTTTATGTTTCTTTCTCCTTTAGCAAGAAAAACAGTAAGTTATATAATGGATAAAAATTTCATAACATAAGCCCTCCATGGATATTTGTAGCAATTCAGGATTGAAATTGTTTTATCACCATTCTGATAAGAAGGAATAGCATTCCTTCTGGTGAGAGTAGCTTACATTTAGAACTCAGTCGGATAGATGAGTCATAAACTGTTTGTAAAATGGGAGAAAAAAAATGCCATAATAAAAGCCTGAATTTTGAAAACCTCATATTCTGATTTTGCTGAATTTCTTAGTTTTTGTGTTTTTAAAACTGCTTTCCTATCAAAGGATTAGAATGTTAAAAGCTTATAATTCTAAAACATGAGTTAAGTTGGAATAAAATGACATTTCTTAATTTATTATGAACACTGGAACAATTTTATGAAGTTTATTTTTGAGTTGCTTAAAATTTGTTTTCCTTTTGCAGTACTGAATTTTAATTTTTAAAGCAACACTTCAACATTTTAAAAACAGTGTTAATATTCTTCTAAATAAATGGTTAGTTTTAGTCTTAACATTCTTTTGGAAGTTAGGCAAAAATATGTTCCCCCACACAGAAGAAATGGTTAATGTGATATTTTCATATTGGATTTTCTGATGTTTGATACTTTAAATTGCCACATGGTCTGAAAATTTGTTATACTGTACTGGAAACGCTTGGGGCTTTTTTTTTTTTTTTTTTTTTTTAATAAATGGAGATTGAGCACCATCTGTTGGTCAACCTGAAGTATTTTAATTTGTGAATTGAACAAAATTTTGTTATTAAATGATTATATTCCTTAATTACTTGGATCTTATGTGTTATATAATTCTTTTACAACATTATGTCTAAGAACTTTCATATGATTCATGAGAATGCATTTATTGTTGTAAATTATAAAATGATCCACGGTTTATCACCTTTACTGTTTAAATTTTCTTAACTTCTGTATATTACTGAATTATAAATTATCCTTGGGAGGAGGCAAAAGGTGTTTTGATAATAAACCTTGTTTATATAGTTTTTAAAGGAGATGATTATTTGCCATGTTTGGAGATTAACAAATTAAGACAGAATAGTTAAGCAATTCCTATGTTGTTATCTATGCATTACCAGAATGCTAGACTTAATTTTTAAGAAAATGGAATAGTTTTATTTTGTCTTCTTAATATTTTTTATCGTGCTGGGGGTGCATTGTGACATTCACAAAAGTTCTTCCAATATATCAAATATATCATAGCTTTGTCATCTTTAATATCAATGTTAAAAAGTAGATTATGTAATTGCTGAGCAATGTGAATTAATACATTAAAATAATTGCTTTATATATACTTTTTATAATTTTGTACTTTTATATTAAAAGCATTATTTGAGGTGTATACTTAAAACTGAAATAGATATTAATAAAACAATTTAAAATGTTAGTTTTAACAGTAGTTATTAGTATAAATATCAATAAATTAAACTACTAATTTTTTTCAGAACAAAGCAAAAATAAGTCTGAAATGACATTTGATGATCTCAAAGATATTAAAAATATGTATTCTTTAGTTATAGAGGACAGCTGTTTCTTTCTATTCCAAAGACATCAAAGTGAGTGCTACAGCTGTATCAAAGTCTTAACCATCATACATTAATAATGTACAGTAAATAAATCAGTGCTTTTGGGTTTTAGGGAGGTTGTTCTTTTTATTATAGGTCTTTCTAAGCATATGTCATCTAATGCTTAGTGTTAGATGTATCCTTCACAAGAAAATTGTATAAAAAATGCCCAAAGAAACAAGCATAAGAAACTTACATTGATATTTTTATTTCATACACATAACAAAGTAACTGATTTTTAATAGAAAAATCAAGATTTATATTGTTGTTATATTAAGTTGTTTTAAATCATGACTCATGTCTTGATTCTCCTCAACACCTGTTGCTTTTTCTTTTATCCATTTAATGCCACTACTTCTTCCTACTGTTTTAAGGTAGATACTTGAGATTTAGCCTTGATTTTTCTCTCTCTCATTTTTAACAATTCAATTTCTAATTTCTTTCTTCAACCTTTCTCATCTCTGACTATTCCAGAGAGTTTCCTAACTAATAAATTATTTTCATTATCTCTCATATTCCACCCTATCTTCATCTTCAATAGAATGGAACATTTATTTTTTTCTAAAACACTTTTCTGGTCTTATTAAAGATTCTTCTTCGGTTATAGATTGCCAGTCATACAATATACACTTTAGGATGGCACTCACTGGGACCTTGCTGTCTGATTCTAATTGACCCTTCTAGGCACCCTCCCTCCCCCATGTCTCCTTCCCACTCTTTGAGACCTGAAGAGTTACTTTAAGAATTAATCATATTAAAAACTCTACTAGCAACTGAATGGTATTATTAGAAGGTCTTATCACCAGAAGGGTTGTTAGTTATGTACATATGTAGTTAGTTATAAATTCTTTGAAAAAACTAACAGTTTGTTTTTTAATGTATGTGATCTTTGAGTTCCAAATCCCAAGGTTATCAGGAGGGTGGACTCTGGAGCAAGATTGCCTGAGTTCAAATTGCAGCTTTTTGTGGTTTTGAGCAAGTTACTTAATTCCTTAGCTCCTTAGTTTTCTTTGCAGGGAAATACAGATCATAATATTCCTACTTAATAGGATTATTGTGAAGATTAAATGCCTAAATATATATGATGTACTTAGAGCTGCTTAATACATAGTAAATGCTCAAGAAATGTTATTAGTTATTATCTTTAATATTTAAAGATAAGATTAAAATGAATAACTGAAATAATACTATATTAAAACTGAGAAAATATTCAAATATAGAGATAGTTTTTAAAGATTATTTTTTCTTGCAGTAAAGTATGACATTTTAATGTTGATTTGAAATCTTTTCTTATATGAAAACCTTCTTATTTAAACTAAGAATTGAATAATTCAGTAAATAATGTCCTTTTGTTCACATTTATGTACATATATTTTTTGTTAAACTCATTCCTATTTTGTGGTACAGTAATGTCACTAAAGAGGTATTAACTACTTTATTTTTCGAGATCCAGAGAAATACTATTAAGAGCATAACATCAGAAATTGTCACCTTATCTTTATTTATTTTTTTAATGTTTGGCGGTACTAGGGTTTGAACTCAGGGCCTTGTGCTTACTAGGCAGGAGCTTTACCACTTGAGCCATTCCACCATAGGCTTCTTTTCTTTATAGATGAACCTTTAAATTAAAAAGTGAAGACCTAGCGTAGACTTTTTTTTCCAAGATAAGCTAGTTCTAGTGATGCCGGTTGATGGCTTTAAAGTGCAACCATGAGGTGATAGAAGTGAGTCATCCCATAATAAGACTTATTGAAGAAATAGACTTGCTTGTGACTGACAAGTGTTTATGTTTCTGTGTTTGTTTATTTCTTTTTTTTCCCATCTCTTTTGGCTTGATGAGTTTCCTCATTACTTCTAGCCAAGTTCTAAGTGTAGATGTATCTGTTTTGCTTCCATTGGGTTTTGGAAAGAGAATATGGATGGGTACATAAATAAATTTTAAGAGAACAGATGAATTGATAGAGAGTTAAAAGTTTTAGTTAAATCTGATTTTTTTCTTTTTGAGGTTTTTGTTTTTACCATTTGATAATGGTAAGAAGGTGAAATTTGATCCTTTGTTGGATTGCATCCTATATTTTGCACACTAGTATCATTAAGAATATACATATTACATTACTTTTTATTGCTAAAATACATTTTAATTGCAAATGTTTTCCAGGATTCAATAAATACATTATACTAAGTTTAGGTATTTCCTAATGAAATATTTAGGAGGAGAAAGGCACATTAGTAGAGAATTAAAATGTGATGTTATAAGTGGTACAGTAGTGCATGATTCAAAAGAAAGATCACTGCTTAAGTCTTCTTGGCAGTTCAAAGAAGATTTTTGTGACGTGATTATTCAGCTACTCCATGTAGCTGAGAATTTGTGGCTACTCCAGGTGAGTAATAGAAAGTAAAGGGAGCCGAATGTACAAAGTTGTGGGGGCATTTAGAGAGCAAGGTCAGAAAGAGGGGTTGTAGACCATGAGGCTGACTGGAGATACAGACTTTACAAAACCCTTTTGGATATTATGCTAAGAATTTTGGATTTTTTTCCTTTAAGCATTGTGGATGCAGTAAAGAAGTTTTGAGCAAGTGAATAATGTACCCATTTACATTTTTGAAGCTTATATTGGTCATTCTATGACCAAATTAAAGGAGGTACTATGGGTAGTACAGGAGAGAAATGGCGACTCCCTGAACTAAGGCAGTAGAAGTGAGAGTAGACATAGAGAGTTAAGGAAAAAGTAGAGTTAGTCAGCAGATTTTTTTTTTTTTGGA